GAAGTGGGAGGGGAGCTGTTGCATTGTGGTAAATTGTAGTCAATGTCATGAGACAAAGTATATGTGAACTGTTGTATGGAAAGTGAATTTGCTCTGTAAACTTTCACCCAAATCACAATAAAAATTTTAAAAAAAGAAAATTCTCTGACCAAAAAAAAGAAGACAAAGTCAATTTTTATAATGAAATGTGCCAACACTGGAGTTAGAAAACCAAAAGGGAAGAATATGCTCAGCATTTCTCAAGAACTGAAGCAAAAATTCAAGCCCATAGGAAATTCTATAGGCAAAATATTGAATGATCCAGGAAACATAAAAAGAAGATGGAAGGAATACACAGAGTCACTGTACCAAAAAGAATTTTTTAATATTTATCCATTTCAGGAGGTGGCACATGATCAAGAACCAATGATACTGAAGGAAGAAGTCGAAGCTGCAGTGAAGGAATTGGCAAAGAACAAGGCTTCAGGAATTGACAGAATACCCATTGAGATGTTTCAATAAATGAATGCTGCACTGGAGGCACTCACTCAGCTATGCCAAGAGACTTGGAAGACAGCTACCTGACCAACTTACTGGAAAAGATCCATTTTTGTACCCATTCCAAAGAGAGTTGATCCCACAGAATGTGGAAATTACCAAACAATATCATTACTATCACATGCTCTGGTAGGTAGCATAGTGGCTAAGACACTTGCCTGCTAACCAGATGGCTGACGGTTCAAACCCACCAGCCACTCCTCGGAAGGAAGGTTGGGCAATCCTACTTCCATAGTGATACTGCCTCGGAAACCCAAGGAGGGGTTGCTATGAGTCGGGTTTGACTCGATGGCACATAACAACAACAACAACAAGGGACCTTTATGGGAGCTCTGGTAGCATAGTGGCTAAGACACTTGCCTGCTAACCAGATGGCTGACGGTTCAAACCCACCAGCCACTCCTCGGAAGGAAGGTTGGGCAATCCTACTTCCGTAGTGATACTGCCTCGGAAACCCAAGGAGGGGTTGCTATGAGTCGGGTTTGACTCGATGGCACATAACAACAACAACAACAAATCACATGCAAGTAAAATCTTGCTGCAGATAATTCAAAAATGGTTGCAGCAGTATATTGACAGAGAACTTCCAGAAATGCAAGCTGGATTCAGAAGAGGATGTGGAATGAGGGATATCATTACAGATGTTAGATGGATCTTGGCTGAAAGCAAAGAATACCAGAAAGATGTTTACTTGTGTTTTGTTGACTATGTGAAAGCATTCAATTGTGTGGATCATAACAAATTATGGATAACTTTGAGAAGAATGGGAATTCCAGAACATTTGATTGTGCTCGCCAGGAACCTGTACATAGACCAGGAAGCTGTCATTCGAACAGAACAAGGGTATACTTCATGGTTTAAAGTCAGGAAGGGAGTGCGTTAGGGTTGTATCCTTTCACCATACTTATTCAATCTATATGCTGAACAAACCAAAGAAGCTGCACTATATGAAGAAGAACATGGCAGCAGGATTGGAGGAAGACTCATTAACCACCTGTGATATGCAGATGACACAACTTTGCTTGCTGAAAGTGAGGATGACTTGAAGCACTTACTGATGAAGATTAAAGACTTCAGTGTGCAGTATGGATCACATCTCAACATAAAGAAAATTAAAATCCTCACTACTGGCCCAATAAACAGCTTCATGGTGGATGGAGAAAAGATTGAAGTTGTCAAGGATTTTGTATTATTGGCTCTACAATCAACACCAGTGGAAGCAGCAGTCAAGATATCACTGACATATTGCATTGGACAAATCTGCTGCAAAAGACCTCTTTCGAGTGATGAAAAGCAAAGATGTCTCCTTGAAGACTAAGGTGCACCTAACCCAAACCACAGGAGCTCTGGTAGCATAGTGCCTAAGGCACTGACTGCTAACCAGAAGGCTGGCGGTTCAAACCCACCAGCCACTCTTGGAAGGAAGGTTGGGCAATCTACTTCTGTAGTGATACCGCCTCGGAAACCCAAGGAGGGGTCGCTATGAGTTAGGTCCAACTTGACGGCACATAAAAACAACAACAACCCAACAATGGTATTTTCAATTGCCTCTTATGCATGCGAGAGCCTGAGAATGAATAAGGAAGACCACAGAAGAGTCGATACTTTTCAATTGTGGTGTCGGAGAACAATGCTAAGAGTACCATGGACTCCTAAAAGGAGTAACATATCTGTCATAGAAGAAGTGCAGCCAGAATGCTTCTTGGAAGTGAAAATGGCCAGACTTTGTCTCACCTAATTTGGTCATGTTATCAGAAGTAACCATTCCCTGGAGAAGGATATCATGCTTGGTAGAGTGGAGGGTCAGTGAAGAAGGGGAAGGCCCCCAACAATATGGATAGACATAGTGGCTGCAACGATGGGCTCAGGTATAGCAAGGATTGTGAGGCTAGCACAGAACCGGGCAGTGTTTCGTTCTGCTGTGCACAGAGTCGCTACGAGTTGGAGACTACTCGATGGCACCTAACAACAACAACAACAACAAGGGACCTGAGATCATGCTGAGCTCAAACTGAAGGCAAAGTCACTCCTGGATTCTATCCTTGAAGTGGAAGGTGATAGCTGCGTACCCAAGAAAGACCATCCATTCCATTTTCCATATTTTACAGATAAGAAAGTTGAGTGCCAGAGAGAAGAGACTTGTTCAAGGTCCCCCCCCCCCAAAAAAAAAAATCAAACTCACACCTGTCGAGTCACATCTGACTCACAGCAATCCCTCGGGTTTCCGAAGCAGTATCACTACAGAAGTAGATTGCTTAATCATCCTTCTGAGGAGTAGCTAGTGGGTTTGAACCACCAGCCTCCTGGTTAGCAGACATATGCCTTAGGTACCACATCACCAGAACTCGTTGTTCGAGGTCAGAAAGCAATTTAATATCTCACAGAAACTAAGTCCTCAGATGGTTTTAAGATTCTTAACGAGGTATATAAATCAGAATAAAAGTACTTTGTAGACCTGCATCAAGATGCACCTACTCCTGGACTGTTAGCTAACGGGGTGGAGGGGATCCTCTTTTATTCTTTCCTTTCTTTTTTGCGTAGGCACCTTTCAGTCAGGTTTTCTTTCTGGTAACCTGAAGAACTGTAATAAATACAAAGTGATTCTGACATGCACCCTTAGCTGAGAGCCTCTGATCTCGCCTCCTCTTGGATGACATGCTGTCGCACTGAACTTTCCTTTCCATATGGGACTCTCTGTTCCTCAAGAGTCTAGGCAAAGACTTCTTATATCCTTTTTTTTTCTCTCTAATTTACTCAGCTTCCATCATGAGGTCTTCCATTGTCACTCCCTGGAGCTAACTCAACCCTTCCATCTGCAACCTAAATACACTTTGTTCCACCCTCAGTCAGGACACAGTGCCCTGTCACTCTTCTATTCATTAAGGTAGCCCAGACCTCTAGTGGGTAATGAGAAATGAACTCTCTTCTTCACATACCAGTAATGTCATTTCTTCCTCCCCCAGGGGGTCTCATAGCTGTCACAAGCAACACATCTGTGATGTACAGCCTGTTCGTGTCCTTCTTATCAAACCAGTAACGGTGGTCAATCCATTGCCTCAAAAGCTCAATGGGGGGCTGGGCCCCATACACTTCTTTGGCTGGCATGTTGAGGTCATCTGCAGAAAAAAGCCAAACCCACACATTTAAGTCCATAGGATCCTCCGGTCAAACTTGCTCAGACATGACCATATTCTCCTAGAGAGGAGTCGGGCCCAGTTTTACCATCCCCACTCCACACAGGGCTCAACAAGTGAGCATTCTGACCAGACAGGAAGGGGTTTTCCTGGGTTCTGGACTCTCTTGCCTCATTGAGATCTCTTCCTATTGTGGCTTTAAGGATACCTGGATTGGCATCAACTAACAGGAATTCATTTTTTTTCCATTCGCTCAATCACAATATAATGATTGCCTCCTGTGGACTAGAGTTTAATTGCTGGGGATATGAGGGTGAGGAAGATAGCTAACAGAGTATTTAGTCTGATCAGCAGTTGATCAAACTGTGGAGCTGAGTTCCACTGGGACAAGGCTTTGGAACTAGGCTTTTGAGTAGTGACAATAAAATAGCAATAATAGAATATGACTTCCTTGGGGGCAAGGATTGTGTTTTCCTTTATAGTATTTCTTTCAGTTTTGGCACAGAGGAGGCACTCAATAAAATAGAAGCTCTTTTTATTTTTCTCCAATAAATATTGATTGAATGCTCAGTTTGTGTCAGACAACATTTTGGGAGCTTTACATACATTATCTCATCTAATCTGAGTAATGATTTTATAAAGGAAATCTTACCTACTTGTTAGAGGTGAGAAACTGAGGTTAAGTCATAATATGCCTCAATAGATCTTTTGGCTACAAATCTTAAATTATTGTTGGATAAGTGATTAAAAAAAAAAAAAAGGAAAGAGGGGTGGAGGGATGAAGACTGATGGTATAAATCACAAGAATGTTCACAGGAAGGGGATTCAAGGCAGAAGGACATGCAAAGGCCCTGAGGTGGGTTTGAGCAGCAGCAGGGAGGCCGCATAGCTTGGGTATCTTGAGTGAGAGGAAGCATGGCAGGAGATGGCATGGAAAAGGTAAACAGGGGCCAAATCCTTTTTTCAAGATTTTTTGGGAAATACTAAATCATATTAATTTTATTAATCAGAAATATTTTTTCTCTCAGAGAGAGTAAAAGGATTGTACAGTGACCCTAGAAAGGTAGGTTCTGGCTTGCTTCAGCTTGTAGGGAAGAACTTGGTTGCATTCAGGCCAATGGCTTACCCACAAACACTACAGCTTTCTTCCCCAAGGGGGGGCCAAAAAGGCCTTTCCTCCGCCGATCCAGCTTGGACATAATGATATCCTGGGTCTGATTGGCTGAGGTTCTGGCAGAGAAGTTGATGAAGTTGGGGAGATAGATGTTTTTGGGAAGGTGGAGAAGGAAATTGTTGGTGATGGCTGACTTGCCAGTGCCTGTGGGACCCACAAACAGCACTGGAATCTCATGGTCCAAGTAGGTTTTCAAGAAGAAGGACTGCCGGGCTGTCTCCATTGTGGGAATGATGAGTTCTGAAACCTGTACCACAAAAACATGGGACAGTCTTAGTACTGGGCGCAGAAGGCTGGATTTTGGCATTCAAAAGACTTGGGCTTGAATTTCACCTCCATCCCTTACTTTCTTTATGATTTTGAGTACTTAACCACTTCAGGAGCCTTAGTTTCTTTATCTATGAAATCAAGATAACAATGATACTTAGTTCACAGAGCCATTTTGAGGATTAAATGAAATCATACATATAAAGTGATCATAATTGTCCCTATTTTGTAGAGGATGCTGAGTTCCAGACACCTTCTGCATCTTACCCAAGTTACACAACAAGTAAGTGGAAATGCAGGGATTTTTGAAACCAGGCTTGTCTGGTTACAAAAGCTACATTGTAAACTATTGAACTAGGATATTATAAACACAAGTTACAGTAAAGTCTGTTCCACAGTTGTTGCTGAGACTACTGATCTGAATCTACATGTCTGCCTTGCCCCGGGTAAGGTCTACCTCCCATATAAACTGCCTGGCTCATAAGCAGCCCTATCTTCTGTGCTTGTTCCTGATCTGCTTTTCCCAATACTCAGATCCTTGGTTCTAAGATCTATCCCCATCTAACCCCTGACCTCTTCCTATATGGGCATGGTACACACTCTTCCTGGTTCAAACTACAACTGGACCTTAAGGGCTTGGTCTTGGGCTCCTGGAATTCTTGTTACTTTAGGAGAACAAAGCTTGGATTTCAGAGCCCAAACCCTGTCATTAGCCATTTGGCCCATTTGGTTCTTCTGTGGAGGGCAAAGGATGGTGAAGATGAGAATTGAGGAAATAAATCATATGTTGAAGACTCCTTGTGTGTCTATGCTGCAAGGGATTAGTGAACATGGGGCCACTCCAGGAGTAGTACTATTACACTGTGGCTTACGTAACTGGTGTCCCCCAAAACACAACTAGATCATAATGCAATTGGTGCCATCTGTATTTGTGCAACATGGAGGCCCTATTATACCAGCTGTGATAATTTGATCATAGAAGAAGGAATAGAGGGGGCAAAGGAATTGAAATGGGGAAGAAGAGAATTATCAGGGTTGTGCTATGGATGTTTTACTTGTATTACTTTTGGCAGTCTTCCCAGTAACCCTCTCAGGCAGGTGTATTATTAGCCCCATTTTTCAGATAAGAAAACTAAGGTCCAAGAAAGCTGGCTATCTTGTCCAAAGCCACATAGCCAGTAAGTAATGTTGGGAGTAGAACCAGGTTCAAGATTCCTATTTGAATCACAAAACTGTGAATTTAAAGTAAATTAGATTTGATAGTCCCAGAGGCTTGCACAACTATTTGAAAAGGGAAAAATTAGCAGCAGAATTGAAAATATTTTCTGCATTGGACAAAATTTAATCTGCATAAACTCAACAAAATTTTAAATTCCTGGAGTTCAGATGACTAAGTTAGTTAACCAAAAACCAAACCCACTGCTGTCAAGTTAATTCTGAGCCATAGTCACGATATGGGACAGAGTGGAAGTGCCCTATAGGGTTTCCAAGTCCATAATCTTTATGGAGGGAGCTCTGGTAGTGAAGTGCCTAAGGCACTTGACTGCTAGCCAGAAGGCTGTTTAACCCACCAGCCACTCCTTGGAAGGAAGGTTGGGCAATCCACTTGCGTAGTGATACCGCCTCGGAAACCCAAGGAGGGGTCGCTATGAGTCAATGGCACATAACAACAACAACAACAACAACAACAACAACAATCTTTATGGATGCAGACTGCTACATTTTTCTTCCATGGAGCATCTTTTGGGTTCGAACCACTGACCTTTTGGTTAGCAGCTGAGTTACTTAACCATTGCGCCACTAAGCTCTGTAAGCGTGTTAATGAGAATTAAAGTTTTAGGACATCAGTGCTGAAAATTTATTCACAAAACTCAGCATCCAAGGTGTGTCCTGAGTCACATTCACTCTTGCTTACTGCACCTTCTTCACCTTCAGCCACCATTCTGCCCTGCATCTGACTTGATTGTCCAAGTTTCAACTTTTACAACCATCTACCACTATAATTCCACTGCTGGACAGGAATATACAGGAATAAAACCAACTACATCTGTGGAAAGTGATGATGGAGAAGCTCAGTATTATCAGTTGGAACAAGGCCAAGGTCTGAGAACAGATCATCAGTTGCTCATATGCAAGTTCAAGTTGAAGCTGAAGAAAATTAAAACAAGTTCTTGAAAGCCAAAGTATGACCTTGAGTATATCCCACTTGAACTTGGAGACTATCTGAAGAACAGATATGATGCTTTGAACACTAATGACTGAAGACCAAACAAGCTGTGATATGACAACAAGGATATCACACATGAAGAAAACAAAAGGTCATTAAAAAGACAGGAAAGATACATAGATATATAGTGTTCTGGTTACCTAGTGCCGCTCTGACAGAATATACCACAAATGGGATGCTTTAACAAACAGGAGTTTATTCTCTTACAGTTTTGGGGCTTTAAGTCTGAGTTCCAAGTGCCGGGTTCTAGGGGCTGGGTGAAAGCCCCGCAACCTTGAAGTAGTTCTGCCTCTTGCTCCCAGCCCACTGGAGCTAGAAGCTTTTCTTCACTCAGACAGCTACTGGCTGCTGAGACGGACAAGCCCAAGGTTGACAAGTAAAAAGGCGTAGTCTCAATGTTACTAAACAACTCAACAGGCCACTAATTCAAGTCCAGAAGTCCCAAGACTGTCAGGGCATGGCAGGCTGTTGAACAACGACATGGCTACATGCAGGGTTTAAGCGTGCCGAAAAGCTGGAGACCTTCCTCAAAGTTGCTGCTTACACACTGGGAGCAGCCCACATCCCTAAGGCAGCTACTCAGCTGCTCCAGTAGATTCCACCATGGAGCTAATTATTAATCTCTCCATTAGGAATAACTACATCCAGCTGCCCAGCCACTCAACCAGGCCCAGTCAAGTTGACACATAACCTTAACTACCTAGAAAAGGCCATCATACTTGGTAAAACAGTAGCTTAGTGAAAAAGAGGATACTCGGGATGAAACAGTGGATATGACAGTGGGCTCAAACAACTGTGAGGCTGGCACAGGACTCGGCAATGTTCTGTTCTGTTGTACACAGGGTCACTGTGAGTTGGAACCGACTTAACAGAACCTAACAACACCACCATCTACATTGTACACCATTTCATCCAGGTTTCAAACAACCTGAAATCACCCCAGAAAAATTATGGTCGCTATATTCTATTAAGGAGCTCTGGTGGCATAGTGCCTAAGGCATTTGACTGCTAACCAGAAGGCTGGC